CTCAAGCTCCTAGAAAAAGAAGAACAAATCAAACCCAAAGCCCAGGGACGGCAGAAATTATAAAGCTCAGGGCAGAAATTAACACATGGAAGACTAAAACAACAATACAAAAAATTACTAAATCAAGGAGTTGGTTCTTTGAAAAAATAAATAAAATGGATAAACCCCTAGCCAGCCTTATTTAAAAAGGAAAGAAAAAACTGAAATGCATGCAATAAAGAATGAAAGAGATGAAATCATTACAGATCCTGTAGAAATTCAGAAGATCATCAACAACTACTTTGAAAATCTTGACTTGCACAGGATGGAAAAGAAAGGAAAAGGACAGATTTCTAGAAACATATGAACTACCAAAGCTGAACGAAGAAGATATTGAAAATGTAATAAAAAAACTTGCCAAATAAGAAAAGTCCAGGTCCTGACGGATTCACAGCTGAATTCTACAAGAAATTTACAGAAGATTTAATACCAATTCTTTTCAAACTCTTTAAGGAAACTGAAAAGAAAGGAATTTCTCCCCAACTCACTCCTAGAGGCAAGTATTATCCTGATACCAAAAGCAGAGAAAAACCCAACCAAAAAAGAGAACTATAGACCAATCTCCCCAGTAAATATAGATGTAAAAATTCTCAATAAAATACTAGCAAACAGAATGCAACAAATCATCCAGAAGATTATACACCATGACCAAGTAGGATTCATTCCAGGAATGCAGAGATGATTCAATATATGCAAATAAATTAATGTAATACACCATATCAATAGAGCCAAAGACAAAAATCATATGATGATCTCAATTGATGCCAAAAAAGCTTTTGATAAAGTCCAACACTTATTCATGACACAAACCCATGATAAAAACCCTACAGAAAGAAGGCATAGATGGACTTTTCCTCAATCTTGACAAAAGCCATCTATGACAAACAAACAGCTAACATCATTCTAAGTGGTCAAAAACTGAAAGTTTTCACTTTAAAATCAGGAACAAGATAAGGATGTCCCATGTTACCACTCCTATTCAATACAGTTCTGGAAATATTAGTCAGAGCAATTAGACAAGAATGAGAAATAAGAGGAATAAGGATATGAAAGGAAGAAGTGAAATTATTATTCACAGATGACATGATACTCTACATAGAAGACCCCAAAAACTCCACCAAAAGGCTCCTGGATTTAATAACGAAGTAGAGCAGTGTAGCTGGATATAAAGTCAACACTCAAAAATCAATAGCATTTCTGTACACAAACAACAAATAGAGAAAAATTAGGGAAACCACACCTTTCATAATAGCATCTAAAAAACTAAAATACTTAGGAATCAATCTAACAAAAGAAGTAAAAGATTTATATAGTGAAAATTTCACTACTCTGAAAAAGGAAATCGAACAGGATTTCAAAAAATGGAATACTATTCCTTGCTCATGGATAGGAATAATCAACAGTGTGAAAATGGCTATACTCCCAAAATTATTGTATGCAATTCCGCCTAAAATACCATTAGTATACCTCACAGATCTAGAGAAAATATTCCTAAAATTTATCTGGAACCAGAAGAGGCCTAGAATAGCAAAAGCAGTCCTGGGCAACAAAGGAAAGG